CATGAGATTAGTTGCACCAAGAAGGAGATCCGTGTATCCAATCCTTCTTCCATAATTGCAATGAATTCGTGGCAACCATGTACGAAAACATTTTGTTCCAAAAAAATAACCAAAAAAAATCAAAAGCCAAAAAAAATTCCAACAATTCACAAAAAAATCAAAAAAAAAATTCAAAAAAAAAAAACCTAACAACATTCCATGTTGCAATATTCCTAGTTGTCATAAGACCAACTAATTGCCAACAGTACCCGGAAGTTGAAAAGAACCTTGATAACTAATTGCAAACACAATATCCCGTTATCCAAAAAAAACAACTTCATTGCCTTAAGACAATGTCCCAAGTTGAAAAAAATTTCTCACAATCTAATTGCTTACCAGCAATATCCCAAGATTGCAAAAATTTGACCAATGAAAACCATCAATCCCAAGTGGACATAAGAATCTTAAACCACTTAAACCAGCATTGAAGAACAACGTACAACGAATAATCAAAAACGTAACATAATATTAAAACTGATATATACTAAAAACAAACTAATTAGTTGTAACTAACTCTTGAATTGCATCATATTCTTCTGTTCCTGTTTGGATTTGATTCGTGTACTCCTGAAGAAAAGTTTCAAATTGTTCTGGCACCAATGCTTGTCTCACATCCGCAAGTGAATAAATCCCTGCATGAAACGGTTCACAATCCTTAAACGTAATAGCAACTAAACGATTAAGAATATCCAATCCTTTGATTCCCACGATGTTATCTGAACGAGCAGCTTGTACTAAACCTTGTAGATCCGTTGGAGGATGTCTTTTGTCACCAGTAAGTGATTCATGATATGGTTTCATGTTCTTAACATTTTGCATTCTACCAACATTACGTGGACCTAAATCTAACTCGTAAGCATTATTAACAATTGGAGCTTTCTTGATAACCGTGTATGGACCAAAGTAAAGATTTTGTTGTTTGGTAAATTTGAAATTGTAACCAAAAACCTTCGCATTTCTGTGAAGTAACACCTTGTCACCTGGTTCTAATAATAGTTCCCGACGGTGTTTATTGAAGTTTTGTTCTTGTTCATTCTGAGCTTGTTCTAAATTATCTGAAATCCGATTAATTAAGTATTGCATATAATAAGCCTTATTCTCTGGTGGTAGAGCACTAATAGTTTTCTCACTTGGTAAAATCAATTCATACAATCGACTATCAAATGATGGTGGAGTCGGTTGATATCCATAATCAGCTTCAAAAGGAGACATCCTTATTGACTTGTGATAATGAGAATTATAAGCAAATTCTAATAAAGGTAACTTTGCTAACCAAAGATTTTCTCTGAAATCACTAAAAGCTCTAAGCAACTGAATAAAAGTCCTATTTGTTCTCTCAGTTTGACCATCTGTTTGTGGATGATATGGTGTAGAATATTTAAGTTTCAGTTGGAGACTTGCAAAGAGATCCTTCCAAAACCTCGATGTGAACAACTTGTCTCTATCAGAAATAATTTCCTCTGGTACTCCATGATGTTTAATGACCTCGTTAACAATTAATTCAGCACATTCACTAGCAGTTATATTCTTTGAACAAGGAATAAAATGAGCTCTTTTCGTAAATCTATCGACTACTATTAAGACTTGATTCTTACCATCAACTGTAGGAAAACCTGAAATAAAATCCATTGTAATCGACTGCCATCGTTTCGTTGGTATGGGAATTGATTGTAATAATCCATACTGTTTCTGAGTACTAGGTTTTGTAGTCTGACAAACATGACAATGTTGAATGAACCTACGAACCAGTTCATACATATTCGGCCACCAAAAATATTGTTGAATTTCCATGAACGTTTGAACTAACCCTGGATGTAAGTTGGGTTCTTTAGAATGATATTGATTAATTACCCGAAGCTGCAACTGTGCTGAAGGTACCCATAATCTATCAATCCCTAGACCTAACTTATCATAACCGTGGTGATAAAGCAAACCATCCTTATATGAAAACTTAGCAAACTTCTGTTTGTAAATATTCGGAATCACTTTCTTCTCAGCTAAAATTTCATAAATTAACTTAGACCTTTCGACTGTTTTGTAATCCTGCCTACATTCATCGAAAAACGTTTCCCCAAGATTTTCTCCAAGCATTGTAAAATGTAGTGCTCTTATCTGGATGAAATCTTGATAACGTCGAGTCAAAGCATCAGCTTGATTTTTCGATCCCTGAATGTAATTGATACGAAGATCAAATTCAGCTAACAAGTCTAACCATCTTGCCATCTTACCAGATAATGGTTTTGGTCTTGATAAAATGTACTTTAGTGATTCATGGTCCGTATTAAGGATAACTTTATGACCTATTAACATATTCTTATGTCTCTCAAGTACCCGAATTATCGCAAGAAATTCTTTCTCCCTTGGAGGATAATTCCTTTCATGTTTATTCATAACCTTTGAAAAATAAGCTACCACTCCGATTGATTTACCCAAATTATTGGTTTTCTCAATCACAGCACCGGTACAATAATCACTAGCATCAGTGGTTACTTTATAAATTGCATCAGGACTTGGAGTAACTAAAACTGGAGCTGTAGTCAAAGTCTTCTTTAGCTTTTCAAATGACTCAACCAAAATTGTCTTAGAAACTCTGATGTTCCTCACAGCCCAATCCATCAAAGGCTTAACCAAGATTGAATAACCTTTGATTGCTTTCCGACAAAAACTAGCTAAACCAAGAGCAGATTTCATTTCTCTCTTTGTTTTAGGAAACTGCCATTCTCTGACTGCATCAATCTTTGAAGGAGAAATTCTAACACGACCTTTCAGAATGATATGTCCTAAATACTGAATTTTCCTTTTAAAGAATTGACATTTTTTCCTTTTAGCCACTAGACCATGCTTTTCAAGCAAATCGAACACAATTTTGATATGTTCTTTATGATCACCTTTTGTCTTACTATAAATAAGAATATCATCTAAGTAAACAGTAACAAATTTACCTAAATATTTCTCAAATATCTCATTCATAGCTCTTTGAAATGTAGCTGGAGCATTCATCAACCCAAATGGCATTACACACCATTGATAAAGTCCTTTGTGTGTTCTGAAAGCTGTAATGTGCCTATCTTCTTTAGCCATATTCACCTGGTGATATCCCAGTGATAAGTCTAACTTAGAAAAATATTCAGCATCATTTATCTCCCCGATTAAGTCTTCGATTAGCGGTAATGGAAACTTATCAACTTTTGTAATTTTGTTGACTTCTCTGTAATCCACACATAATCTCTTACTTCCATCTGGTTTATCAACCAAAATAACTGGAGATGCAAACTTCGAACCTGGACTCTTCTCAACAAGACCTCTTTCAATGAAATCATCAACCTGAGAATCAATTTCCTTCAATTTATCTGCAGACATTGGATATGGAGCTCTATTGGGAAACTTCTCAAAAGACGCCAATTCAATCGTATGAGTAAACTGATTGTTCTCGTTATGAATTACCGGATAATCATTGAAAATAGCCAGATACCTGTCGAAAATGTTGGCAAGAAAATCCTTCACATCTTGTTGCTCGTACGAATCTCGTTCCAAAATAAGTTCTTCTGGTTCAGTTTCTACTACTTCACCTGTCACACTATCGCGTAACTGCTCTGATAAATCAAGTAAACGTATATTTGCTAAAACTACTTCATCATCTTGTGTATACACAGAAGAACTATTTAAATGTTGAAATTCGTCGAAATCTAACTTTCTAACCGATGGAGGGAACTTTCTAAACTCATCTGATACTTCCTTCCCGAGAACCACTGGTATATTACATAACTTAGTTACATAAAACCGTAAATTCTTGAATAGTGGTAACCAATCTAACTCCACATATTCTGTAACAGTTCTCAAGAAAGTACCATCCAAAGCTGTAACTGCAATAGGATCACAACTCTGTACCAAATCTTGACTAACTAATTCTGGTCGAATAAAATTAGCCATACTACCTGAATCTAACAATGCAGGGTGTGGAGGTAAATTACCAAGTTTAACCTCAATAAATTCTCCCTGAACATTACTATCATCCATTGATAAATTCATAGCAGCATTATTGACAATAAGTTTAACGTCCTTCGTCCTCGACTCTAGTCTTTTTTTGAACTAGACTTCTTCGAACTTGACGATGAACCCAGCTTTTCCGCATCCTTAAGTTTTGCCAACCTAACCGGACACTTAGCCTTTTGATGACCTTCCTTACCGCAAGTGTAGCAAGCAGTTTTAGACTTCTTATTGGCCAGCTTAGAATCATTAGGAGTACTCAGTGAACGCTTTTTATTGTTATTATTGTTATTAGCTTGATTCACTTTCTGATAACTCTTAAGTTCAGCATTAGTCAGCTTCACAGCCTTATTGCAAGCATCTAATACATGCTTTGGTGGTGTAAACCTAGCGATGTCTTCAAAATTCCTAATTTCTCCTGATTCTTACGATATGTTACTAAGCACCCGTAAAAATTACTTATTACTAAAGTGTAAATCTCCAACTTGCTTGTATAACCATTGCTCATTTGCATTCGTGGGTAAAGGAAATAATTCGACCATCTCTAAAAACCGTCTACGATACACCGCATAATCTGCCTTTTGCTTAAAAACTACCAAATCAGCAATCAAGTCAAATAATAAATGCTTCTTTACCATGCGTTTTTCTAACATCTCAAGAAATTCCGGAACATGGACTTTATTACTTTCCAATTCTAACAATTTATCTTCGATAAATTTAAGTCCCTCTTTCTCGAAATGAATTGACACACAGACTCTAAATTGTGGAACTGTTAAAAATTCCTTAATCGTGTTTTGCTGGGGATATAACGTTCTCAATGACTGCTTAAATTCTTTCAAGATTTTGTAAGCCATCTTGTCATTGGTCCCATTATATTTAGGCATTTCCTTATGGTCAGCGAGCTTAGTCACTGAATCCAAATTTTGGGCATCAATCCATGCATGTGAATAATCTTCAGGTTGCTTTTTCTGCATAAGATTAACAATCTGAACTAAATACAGCAAGGTTTTCCGATCAATGAACTCATCAGCTATAGCTTGGACCTGTTCATCCGAAAGATCTTCCACTTCGCTTAACTGTCCATCATCATTGCCTTCGCCTTCAGCATTATCATCGTCACCATGATCATCGTCATCATTATCACCCTCATCATTAGTATCCAAAGATCCACCAGTTTTCTGACGGTCCGGGTCTGCGTGGAGGTTTTCTCCCTTCCCTGAACCAGCCTGTCCTGAAGAACCTTCTTCAACCAACTGAGTATTTTCCATTTGGGGTTGTGCAACTTTAGCAACTCTTCTTTTTGGACCCATGATTGTACTTGTAACCGAATTAAACTCACTAAAAAGACGCTACCAACTGTAAGAGTGTTAACGCAGTTAATGAGATATAAGCTTTTCTTAATCCGGAAGCGCAATATGTTGGTATTCTACTTTGGTGGGTTGTGCGGGTAACGTCACAGATAGCAATTGCTTTAATAATATAATGCCAATGATTGAAGATTGGAAGTTTTCCTGTTAATGAAAATTTTTCATTCAATCATCGTCTAGAAAATTCGATCGTTGAAAAACAATTTTCCCTTAGTGATTTATTCTTTTCAATCAATTTTAACGAATCAATTGAACTAATTAACTAATTAACCAAACCAATAGGATTTGAATTGATTAAATCTACTACAAAAAATTGTGATCGCTGTGTATTGATATCTATATTAATATACAGACATTTCAGGGTTTCGTATTTAGAGTTTTAATATATATTTTTTCCTTTATACTTTACTTTTCCACCTTACGTTACACGAGCGCTTCTAATCAACAGATTAGAAGTCAAAAGCTAATTTGGAATTAAAGTATATTTTTAGTTATATCTCAGTTAAGTTAAGTTAAGTTAAATGGAAAGAACTCCATCAAGATTACAAGTTAGAAAAGGTGCAACCATGGAACCAACTATGTTAGATGCTAATCGCAGAAGAACTGCAAATGGTGAATTAGGTCAAGCTGCTGCTGATACTGGTACTCCAGGTAGAAATGAAGGTGATCCAGGTAGAAATGAAATTGATCCAGGTGAAAGATCAGCTCAAGGAAACGCTGGTACTAATGTTGAAGAGTCGGTTTCAGAAGAAGGTGAAGTTATTACTGATTGGATTCTTGACAGAAATGATAAACGTGATGCACCAAATTTTTCAGTTAAACCAGTCTTATTTGAAAACTTTGGATTTTGGAAGTACATTGATGATTATGCTAATTTCACCAAGTTAACCAACGATTTGATTGACCATGAAGAGAAAACCATTATGGATTGGATTGAAGATGTTCCTGAATTGATGAAGTCATCCGAATCAATTGGTAGATGGAAAACTTTCTTTGACAAGTTGTTTAAAGAATATCAAGGTTTAGAACACGTTATTTGTACTCCAGAATTGTATGATCCTAGAAGACAAAAGTACGCTATTAGAGGTCTTGATCAAGAAAGTCCTATGCATACCGCTTTTTATGTTGAGAGATTTTGCAAGCATATTTGTAAAAGATTGATTGGTAAGAAGGTTCAATTGAGTCAATTGAATAAGATTGATGGTAATGCAACTATTTGTGATATCTGGAAATTCGTTAAGGGATTTAAGGACGTCAAGTTAACTGAAACTCTTAGTTTAGCTTTTGCTGCTTGTTCTTATGCAACCCGTTATGATCAGAAGATGGACGACTATGTTAAGCATAAGCACTTAATGAGCGTATTAGTTCCAACTAATATTCATCTCCAATTTGTTGTTGCTATGAACAATACCAATTCTATTCAAGGTCAAATGGTTGATGCTTATGTTAGAGCTGTTGATGAAGGAAATGTGAGAGCATTTAATCAAGTTATGGAGAATTATTTCTTGAAATGGAAAAACAACAAGAAGGGTTTTTGAACCTCCTAATTTTGAAGATATTCCTTATATGATGACTCAAGAGAAGGCTTATAGATATGCTCAAGGTGAAAGAGGTCATAAGAATACTGAACTGTTTATTAAAAACAAGGCTTTCATTTTCTTTTCTGAATATGATCCAAGTTACAAACAAACTGAAACATTAGCTTATCATAATGGATCCAATGGAAGAAGAAAAAACTACAGAGGTGGTTACAAAGGAAGAAAGACTTATCACCCATACAGTAGAGAAAACAGAAACGACAATGAAGACAAGAATGGTGATAAGAAGAAGGAAAACCTGAAGCTGGATGAATCTCCCAAAAGAAAGAATGAATCTTCTAGAGGAAAGGAGAAAACTGAGAACAACAAGAACAACACAAACAATGAAAGCAGTACTGATAAGATTGTTAAATTAGGTGAAGTTTTTGTTAATGCTTTGAAGGAGGCTATGTCTAAGACCAAATAATGGTTTGGCAAGCTGGAAGTAAGTTCAGAAGACTCCAGTGAAGCCATTTATTACTATGATGAAGATGATGAATACAAGGATATTAAAGTTGCTGATAAATCAAAGATGATTTTGTATGATTCAGGTGCAAGTACTTCGGTTGTTACAGATAGAAGTTTATTGACGAACTTTAACAAGAGAAACACGAAACAGTTCAAGGTTGCTGATGAAAGTATTTTGAGGTCACAAGGATCAGGTACGTTGAAGTTAAATGTCAATTGTGAAGAAATTGCAATTCCAGATGTATCGTTGGTACCGAATGCAGCATTGAATATAATTTCTGTGGGTCAATTAACTGAGTTTGGATATAATGCTTATGTGTGCAATAAATACTTGTATTTGTTGAATATGAATGAACGGAGATGCATTCTTGTAGCTAAAAATATTGGTAAGAAGAATCTTTACATGGGACCAATAAATGGTGAAGTTGAATCTGATGAAGCTTTAGAGATAGGATTTTTATATATGCTTAATGTACATAATCTTCCAAGAGTAGAATCGAGTAACGAAAACACATTGTATGGTCAACATCTTGCTGGTAATCATATGTCTTTAGAGGCATTGAAGACTAGAATCAAGAAGAAAGAAATTAATGTAAAGATCACTCCTGAGGATGTTGAGAAGATTAGATTATGTCCAGTTTGCTTAGCTGTCAATGCTATCCAACAGTCCCATAATAAGAAAAGTCAGAAAGCTGCTGAAAGACCTTTGGAAAGAGTCCATTGCGATACAGTCGGTCCAATTGAAATTGGTTTAGTGAAGCATTATGTTACATTATTGACTGATGGTTATAGTAATTATATTGAACCTATTATAACTCAAACTAAGGCTATTAAAGAAACAACTTTATCATTGTTGAAGTTATGGAATAGTTACCATAGTGAACATAAGATTGCTCATTTTCGCTCTGATAATGCTGCTGAGATGCCATCCACTAGGGAATTATTAAGCTTAGGTATTAGAAGAGACACTATCGGTGCATATACCCCTGCTTTAAATGGTACAGCTGAACGTGCAAATAGAACAATATTTGATGCTATTAAGAGATGTGCATTAAGTTTCCCAGGAAAACATAAGGAAGTATTGTCATTGTTTTATTATATCTGTATTTATTGTGTTACAACTGTGAATCATACACCAAAGAAGAGATTCGGTGGTTTGTCACCTTATCAGAAGTTTACTGGAATACATGACTACAAGTTTAATTTTCATACTTTTGGTGTGGATGTTATAGTGAAGTGTTCATCCAAAGTTGAAGCTAATAGATTGGGAGTTGATTTAGATAAGGCTACTCCTGCAGTTGCATTTGGAACTTTCTTAGGATATGGAACAGATTCGAATAGTTACATTATTATGGTATCAACTAAAGATTATCCAGTGATAGTTACATCTAATGTTACATTTTTGAGAAGTTTTGCTGTCATACATCAATATTTTGATTATTATGCTGAGAGACATGATGTAATGAGATTAGACATTAAGGAACTCAATAAATTTTTGGTAAAGGCGTCTGAGAAGCCTGAACATGTGAAGATGAATTCGGTGATGAATATACCTCACACATATCCAAATTTGAATGAAGATTTTGAAGTGATTAATGATGAAGATAGCAACATTCGAGTTGTTAGGGGGGAAGTTGATAGAGACAACAACCCAAATGTTTTAGAAACTGATAAAGAACGTCAGTGTCATCTGAGAGGATTGGATGATGTAATCGGTCGTGATCTGGAACACCGTGTTGACGGTAGATCATTTGGGATGATCCAGGGTACTGAAGACAACCACAGAGAGGTGGAAGACAGTAACAAAAATGGCAGACACGATCAGACTGGTAATAACGAGATTACTGGTAATTTGGCCTTTGAAAGTCAAAACATCGATAACACCGTGATCAAAGAGGGTCAATGTGTGGATGATAATGAAAACACCGTGGTCATAGAGGGCCAATGCGTGGATGATAGTAACAATGTGGTTGCTATTGATTTGGTTGGAGAAGACCAAGAATTGGAGAATCTGGTAAAGGCCAGAAAATCCAAGAAGAAGAGGAAGAAGGGTGGAAAGCATCCTGATTTCTCGAATGGGGTTAAGTCGGTTAGGAAAACTTTACTTCGTGGCAGACACCATGAAGCTGACACAACAAAAGCAAGAAAAAGGAAGATTGCTGAAGTCCAAGAAGTGCATGAAGAACCAGTGAAGAGATCCAGCAGAGGAAGATTGATCAAACCAAAGAAATACTTGTATATGATGAATTCATTCCTTGATGAAGAAGAAGATATTGAACCAATTGAACCAGAACATTTATTTGCTGTCATTGATAGAATTGATCATACTAATCAAGATTGGATAAATGCCAAAGAAAAAGAAATCAAAAAGTTCAAAGAACTCAAGGTATTTAAAGTTGTAAAGATTCCAGAAGGTAAGAAACCAATTCCAACTAGATGGGTATTTACTAAGAAAGAAGATGATTTGAAGAAAGAAGTTTACAAAGCAAGATGTGTGGTCCAAGGATTTAGACAACATGAAGGTATTGATTTTGATATTAGTAAGATATCATCTCCAGTTACTGATTTAACTACTATTAGGTTATTGACTGCTATTGCTACTGAATTTAGTTTTAAGATCCACCATTTAGATGTGAAATCAGCTTACTTGAATGCAGATTTATCAGATGATATTTATGTTAAACCACCACCTGGTTATGAACTTGAAGAAGGTAAATGTTGGAAGTTAAATAAATCAGTTTATGGCCTTAAGCAAGCCGGTTATGAATGGTTTATGACGTTTACAAAGATTTTTATGAAGTTAGGATTCCAGAATATTGTTGATACGTTATTCCTCAAAAGAAATGGTTCTGATTTAATAATTACTGCTATCTATGTTGATGATGTTTTTATAATTTGTTCCAATGATGCATTATTTGAAGATTTTAAAACAAAATTAAAAAACGAAGTCGACTTTAAGGATTTAGGGGAGATTTCTGAATATCTTGGAGTTAAATATGAGAAAACTAAAGATGGTTATTCTATTAGTCAAAAGGAATTCCTCAAGAAGATTGTTGATAAATACTGTGCAAAAGATGAAAAGAAATTCAGATTAACCAATGGTAAGAAGTATGTCAAATCAATTCCAATCGTGAAAGACAACTACAAACCTGAAGATAAAGAAGAAGGATTCTTTGTTAAGAATGTAAATGGTGAATATTTAGATGCTGAATGCAAACGTGAATATCAATCAATTGTTGGACTGTTATTGTGGGCTGCTAATAATACTAGACCAGATATCAGTTATGCTGTTAATTATTTGGGTAGAAGGGCATCCAAGCCTACTGTGAATGATTTTGAGAAGTTGATGTATTGTCTCAGGTATATTAAGTGTACATTAGATACTAAGATTGATTACAAAAGAGAAAGTGGAAGACCAGTTGGTAAGTTCAAACTTAATACATTTTCAGATGCTAGTTATGCTCCGGATATTGAAAGATATTCTATTTCAGGAAGAGTTATTTATTTGAACAATTATTTAATCAGTTGGGCTACCAAACGTCAAAAGACTATTGCTACTAGTACTTATGCAAGTGAGATAGTTGCATTGAAAGCAACTGTGTATGAATCATTGAAGTTGAAAGATGTGATGGAAAAAATGGATTTCAAAATTGATGAAGTTATAGCAAGGGAAGACAATATGGCTGTGGTCAAGTATTGTAAGAACATTCATTGGAATCATTCAAAGAAACATATTGATATTGCTTATAAGTATTTACGTGATCTTGTTGCAGATGGTACAATTATCTTATCTTGGGTTAGCACTAAGGCTAATATTGCTGATATGTTCACTAAAGCTTTAGGTAAACAGGATTTTGTGAATTTCAAGAATCAATTATTTGGATTGAGTAAGTTGCATAAGGAGTTGGAAGAAATCAACTTTATGTTGGATGTGTCAGTGGATTCGGTGAAAGCTGTCGGAGAAATTTTGGGTTACTGAGGGCTCATTTGGTACCGTGGTTTAAAGTTAGAATACAATCTGTCAATGCCTCCCAGTCAGTGACGAGATTAGGGGAGTGTTGGTATTCTACCTTGGTGGGTTGTGCGGGTAACGTCACAGATAGCAATTGCTTTAATAATATAATGCCAATGATTGAAGATTGGAAGTTTTCCTGTTAATGAAAATTTTTCATTCAATCATCGTCTAGAAAATTCGATCGTTGAAAAA